TGAAAAAGAAATGTTCAAAGTAACGATTTCTGGTGGTGAATACAATGTTTGTCATATTACTATTTTCTGTGTTTTTAAAAAACCTCACCAAACATACACCAAAGAATCATACCCATTCCTCCCCACCACACCGTCATCCCTTTCCATCTCTTTCTGACTCCCCCTTGGTTTCTGGCAGAATCTACGTATAATAAAATCATATGGTAGCATCAAAGCAATCCATTAAATTAAGAATAAAAATCAGCTTTATAGCATTATTCACTTGTTCATTCATTCACTAAATGTTAATTGTGTACCCATTGCACACGAACAAGATATTTCAATTGTAATTACATCATAAGTATCAAGATAAACAATTTCTAAAAAACAAATACTACATTCTATAAAGAAGCTTGGAATTGAGGACATACAAGGCTGAAAAGGAAAAGCGAGTAAACTCACCAATAAAAGGTGAATTAAGGCAATTCTGTACAGCCTATACGATTTTGACGAGATTATGATTTTTAATAAATCTTACATAGGTAATAATTTAGAATATATACTAGCTGCTAAATCCAAATGCAAAGGAAAAAACTGCATATACCTTGCTGACATTTTTTTCAAGATTCCTATCTTCTGTTATAGAAGTAATTGTTTTGTTTCACAAAGAGAACATAGAATTCCTTCTAGTGTGAATGGCAGCAGCAGCCTTTATGGCTAATCAAAGGGAAAGGAAAAAAACAACTAGTGGAAGTGTAGAAATGTTAAATTTGTCTTTTCTTCAAACAAATTAAAAATTAGAAGCGAGCCGGGTGCGGACGTGGCACTGCATGGTGTGCCATGCTGTGGTAGGCGTCCCACATATAAAGTAGAGGAAGACGGGCACGGATGTTAGCTCAGGGCCAGTCTTCCTCAGCAAAAAAGAGGAGGATTGGCAGTAGATGTTAGCTCATGGCTAATCTTCCTCAAGAAAAAAGAAAATTAGAAGCGAGTGAATTTCAGCAGGACTAGAATGGAGGTGTGCACACCCTACCACCCCCAGAATTTCTAATCACCTTCACTGACCCCAGGAAAGACCCCAGCAGACCAGAATTTTCCCAGAAGAAAGTAGACAGGGTTGTGACCCACGTTTTCAGAACAACATAGAGCTCAGCAAACAAGAGAATTTTAGTCCAGAAGAAGCTTCTGACATCACATCCTGTCTACCTTTACTAATAGAGGAGAAAACCAAGGAAATAGTGGATTTGTGAGGGGCAGACTACAGAGAAGCTACAAATCTTTCAGACTGTGAATGCCTTTAAATTTTATCTTTCCCAGGGTGATTATGTAACCCAATAGCCAAACTCTTTAGCATAATTTAAGCCAGATTTCTCATATATTTATAGTCTCTCATTCACTCATCGCCCTACTCATCACTCTCACTTTATCTCCCTCTTGCTTTCTCCTTTCTAAACCATCTTTTTTCCCATCAGGTATATAGTCACAGACTACGGAAGGAGCAGTCTTGCAAAGTAGTCCCCTAAGGAGCTTTCGTGTATTTCACAAAGGTGAAAAAGTTAAAACTTAAGTGATATAAGATTAACCTGAAACAACATTCTCAATGAAAAATGCTTCCTACACTGTCTGCTATTTCTACCATTAAAGTCAGAGTTAAGGCAGAGTCCTTCAAACGAATTCTCTGTAAGAAATTATAATTGGCTTTCAATACAAAAATAATCTTTTTTAGGGGCCGGCCCGGTGGCGTAGTGGTTAAGTTCTCGCACTCCACTTCGGCAGCCAGCAGTTTACAGGTTCGGATCCCAGGTGTGGACCTAGCACTGCTTGTCAAGCATCCCACATAAAATGGAGGAAGATTGGCACAGATGTTAGCTCAGGGCCAATCTTCCTCACACACACACACAAATCTGTTTTAGAAAAATGCCTATTCTGATCTCCCAGATGACCATTAACTAGTCAAGTACTGCCATGCAAATTCAGAGCCCGTATTTTTACTGAGACCTAGTAGTAATACTTTCATTGTCTTGAGAAACGAATAGAAGCGAAATTAGAAAGTATTCAAGATATGCAAAAGCCAAATAATGTCAGAGAATCCTCTACGAACAAAGTTTGAAAGGGAAAAGAAGGAAGAATGTTGTCATCACACCACAGATAGTATAGGCTTGTTAAACTCAGAAGAAACTGAACCCCAATGGTCAGCACCACTCTCCAATTTTCTCAGCAATTCCATTTTCAGTGAAACTACATCATCTGTCACATTAAATTAGTGTACTTAATTTGGATTTTATTTGCTTTATGGATTGTTTGCATTTAATTTGCAAATATATTTTAGTTTTATCTTTGTATAAGAGCAACAAACATGAAGCATTTATAAGTAGTTTAATGTTTATAAGTATTTATGTAACAATTTAATAAACATAAGTCAACACAAGGGAGAGTCTATAAAATTTTATTCCTTTAAAAGGGGATCTACATATTGCTCAGTTTTAGAAACACAGAGTTAAAACAATATCTACACTAAATATTACTTGTAGCAGGCCCAATAACAGCCACCCAAAGATGCCCCCATCCCAATCCTGAAACATGTGAATCTGTTACCTTCCACAGGGAAAAGGACTTTGCAGGTGTGACTAAGTTACAGATCTTGTGACAAGGAGAATAGCCTGTATTATGCAGGTGGGCCTCATCTAATCATTAAGGGCCTTATACGAGGAGATAGGAGATCAGAGTGAGCAATAGGAGATGTGAGGACAGAAACCAGAGGTTGGAGTAATACAAGGAAGGGGTCACAAACCAAGGAACGCTGGTGGCTTCTAAAAAGGACAGGAAATAGATTCTCTCCTGAAGCCTCCAGAAGGAACACAGTCCTGCCAAGACCTTGATCTGGGACTTCTGACCTTCAGAACTCTGAGAATAAATCTGTATTGTTTTAAACCACTAAGTTTGTGGTAATTTGTTACAGCAGCAATGGGAAACTAATACACTCCTTAATCCATTTGTATGGAATGATCTTAAAATCAATGCGTGCCACTGTGTTATCCGGGAAGCAGAACCACTGCCCTTTCTGATCACCAAATAGTCTCTTAGATTATGAGCAAAGCAAAGTCACATTTAAGTGGAGGAAAGAGGAATGAAATGTGGAAGCGCAGATAAAGCCAGATGGGGTGCCCCACTGGAAGGCCCTGTGTTGGGAATGGAACTGTGCACAAGTACTGAGTTTCTCATTAGTGAATGGTGTTGGCAGGGAAGGAAAGGAGGTTGGGAGCCGTAGAACAGTCATCCAAAGGAGAATGTGACTGGACAGGGGAGAATAGTGCTGGAGACTCTGACTGCGTGGCCAACTTTGCAGTTTCCCTTAGGCCCTACACTTGCGTCTGAATCTTTAAGTTTGCCCTCCAACTGCTTTTCCAGCATTTATGTTCCCAGGGTAAGTCAGGCTCTCTCCCCAAAGATCTGTTCTAGGGAATACGGTAGATTCTGACAGCACTCAAGAATCAAAGCAAATCTGAGCTCCCCTTTACTGAAGCTACCCAGGCCATAAGGCAGGGCCAAGGGCATGCAGACCAACAGAGGAAGCCCTTCTCTTCCTGGTCCTAACTGACAGATGGGAAAAGGATATCAGGTCAAGGGCCAAGCAGACTCTGGGAAAACGATGCTGAAAGCAGTAGAAACTGAATATCAAGCACCAGTATTTTGTTATTTTATCCCCCCAAGGAACCATGAGAAGCAAGGATTCCCTAAAGTTCTTGAATGATGCAAGCAAAACCAAACAAGATGTCACAGTGGCTGACAGGGAGGATGACAGCAGCAGAGGAAACAGTATCTATTAAGTGTAGGCTAAACGGTGTCTGGTAAGAGGTAATGGTATATCTCACTGTCCCTGAATTCTCTTGTCCACACTCCTGTCCTTTTTACTGCCTCCTGGGCCTCCTCCCTTCTTCGCCCTCCCTATCCTGGGAGGCAAGATTCAGTTGTTTTCAATTATCAGTCCTCTGATTCTTTCAGGTTTAATGTCTTCCTGAGCACAATCAGGCCAGGGCACACCAGTTCACTGTGCAGGGAAGAACACCAGAGCTCATGGTTTGAAGGAAAATGGAGTTAATGTTGTGTGTTGTCACTCAATACTTTCTCATTGCACGTCCCATTAGTATTTGAACCAGAACCAATTACAGGGCCCTGAAGTACCACTTTATTAGGGCTATCACTTAACAATCTAAGAATAATTTATTACATAAAAAGATAAAGATTCCAATTCTGCTCCAGAGCTTGAAGTCATCTCGTATCAGGAGCCTATTTTAAGCAGTTGAAAATCTAGTGATACTGTAACTGTCCTCTCACAACATAGAATATTTAGAACATAAAGGCTGCATAGGAAATTCTGAATCCATTCTAAAGACGCTTTCCACCCTTTAAAATATGATATCTCATTCTTGAAAAGTGTTTAAAGTGGTTGATGATTATTATCATCTTTATCACGATGCATTTTCTCATTTCAAAAGCAAATTCCTTAAATTTTTGCTGCCTCAGAATCCATGGTAAATTTACATTCAACTAGAGTAAGGTGCATATTATAATATCTAAGGGAAAAAAGGTTGTGAGGAAGATCACAACAGTGGAATCTGTAAAATATTCAGGAAAAACGACGATATGAATCACAAAATACATCTCATCCTCTTAAAGAAATAAATACAGTCTCATGAAACTATAGAATATTTGAAGTGGAAGGGACTCAGAGTTATTTACTCCAATTGGCAGACATGCGTAAGTCTCCTCCCCAAGAATTCCAACTAGTGATTGCCCAGACCTTCCCTGGACACCTCCACAGAAATGGAAAGCACTCCAATCTTTGGCAGCTCGTTTTTCCTCATTCTGAGACAACAGTCTACCTTGGCCTCCCTTCCTTCCAGCCCTGGGTCACACCTCTGCCCTCTGCAGCCATGCACGAGAAGTCTTCATCAAGTCAGGACTCCCCAGAGTTAACTCTTTGGACTCCTGCATGTGAAGTCTGGTTTTGAACCTCTCACCATCCTTGTCCTGGTACATGGGGCCACTCTAGCTTGTTACTGCTTCTCCTGGCTTCTGATGTCCACAACCCAACCTGGTATACCAACTGAGACTTGGCCTTCCACTTGGAGCACTTGGTTGAGCATTGGAATTTCTGTAAAAAAGGGATACAGTTATATTCACTAGATATGTTCTCTAAATCAGACTTGCCATTGAGAATGGCCTGCCTGCCGATGAGCCCAAAACTTGAGATTTTTTTCCCCTACTGTTCCTCTCTCAAGAGTCCAAATTATCTTTTCAAATCATCCTCACCTGTAAAAGTCAAAACAAAACAAAATTAAGATGCCTAAGAATCTCCCCCAGGAATACAGAAATAAAAGGCCAACAAACATGACCAGGTGCACTGCTTGCTAGCATAAAACCAAGAAAAGAAACTGGAAAACAAGCTGGAAAAGTCTCCTAACTTGATAAAGTTTTGTTTATGAAATTTCCCATCTGAGGACAAATGGAAAGTAGAGCCATCCTTGTGAGTGAAGCGCAGAAAAGATGATTTTAATATTCTCTACTTTCAAAACAAGCCCTAAATTTACTAGTAAAATATTTGAGAGTCCAGGTCTCAAAATGATTTCTTTGATAATCTTGTTCTTAAAGTTCAGGACTTACTAGGGGAAGCAGTGCATTTTGAAGGCAGAATGGCAGAGCAGAGAGGGAAGGGGACCCGTGACTTGGGAAGAGGCCGAGTCAGCCTGTGTCCTGCTGGCGGACGGCGCAGTGAGACCCCAGCTCATTATGGGAGCTGTGGGCAGGGGTTTGGCAGGTGCCTCTGCTCCTGAGTGAGCAGTTTACCACCACTCTACGTTACGTTTTTGTAATGAAACAAAAGACAATTACTCCTCTAATAAGTTGGGTGTTTTGGTTTCACACCTTCCCATTTGGGCATTCTTTGCTTGGCCATCAACGAGGACTGATTGAAAAGAAAAACTCACAGAGATTTCAATTATTGTTAACGTTGCCTAACTGTTCTCACTGTCACAGTCTAAGGCTTCAACTTTTTAATAAGTTTCCCGTAATTATTACGAGTTTTTGGTCTAATTCCAGCTGAGGATTTAATGGGACTCATTCTGACAAGATATAGGATATTGTCCCAGTAGATGTTCATTTGGAAATGGGCCACTTGCAATTTTGAGTGTGCAGAGCTGTGCAAGATTAAAAGCACTGGCAGTATAATTTCCACCTTGTGTCCCAGGCTCTGTGGATTTGTAGCTCATCCAGGCTGTCCATCTGGGGAGCAAACAGCATGTACTCCTTGATGAGAAACTCTGGCCAACCGACCAGCTGTGAAAAAAATAGATTACTCTTGTCATTTTTTTCTCCGAGGTAATTTGCTGGGAGTAAAAATATAATTTCTTAGAAGGTGTACAGTTAAAAGCAAATCCTAGGGATGTGTCTGATTTATACTTAAAACTTCACGACACTTTTATTTGTTAAATTTAATTTCAACAATACCCTGGCTGTGATAATATTTCCTAATTCACAGGAGATGGAAAGGTTGGTTTCTGGTATTTGTACACTAAGCAAGCATGGGAAAGGGGTTGTGGAGGAGAAAGAACATAGATAAAGGACTCAGCTGGCGGGCTGAGCTAAGCACAAAGAAATGCACCGTTGCTCTTCCTACAGGTAAAGGAGATATTGTGATGGAATTAAATAACTGTCGGGAAAATAGATCTTCCTCTTGCCTCCCAGAAAGCTAAAACAGTAAATGTATCTTTTTAAGGCTGTGACATATAACTTCATCCTTGTGAGAATTCAGAAGGTCACGCTAGATAGATAATCAGCATAATTCTAGATCAATTGAGCTAAAGAGCTAAGAGGGGGATTGTTAATAACAGTTTGATTGTGATGTAATATGTAACATCTAGAGATGTAATACATCCACTATGCTATGTGTTTTCACCAAACCAAAGGGAATGGCAGGATATGTGCCAAATAAAATTAAACTATTCAGTTCCTACCCAGTGGAGAGTTAATGATATAAATTTGAAGTGAAAGAATTTGCAATAATACTTTTGCGCAGTGAGTTACAAAATGTATAGACACAAATGAGTGGTGTTGCTATCTGGAATCTAAAGATTATAGTGCTGTGCCTCATACAAGCTGACCCAGAAATTGTCCAGACCCAGAAAGTGTTAAAAAAAACTAATTCCAAAGAGGCGTAAGCGTTTTTAAAAATTGGTATATTAATATTACATATAATTTGATTTATTTTGACATTGGTATAGTTGGCTAGACATTAGTATATATGTATCCACACATATGACAAAGGACTTGTATTTAAAGTCATTTTTTCCTACAATTCACTGAAAGGAAGCCAAACAAACCAGTGAAAAATAGTAAGCAAAGATATGAACAGAATCTTCACAAAAGAAGATATAATAATAGGTAGTGAGCACACGAGGAGGAGCTCAACATCACAAGTTATCAAGGCAATGCAAATTAAAAATATTAATGAGATACCACTCCATATCCATTAGATTGAGTAAAATTTGAAGCCTGACACTGTCAAGTGTTGATGAGGATATGGGGCAACAGGAACTCTCCAACTGCACTGGTGGGACATTCAATCTCTTTGGAGATTCAATGGTTCAATATCTTTGGAAAATAGTTTGGCACTTATAAAGTTTAACACTCTCTTACTATATGACCCAGCCATTTTACTCCTAGATATTTATCCAAGAAAAATGAAAACACATGTCCACACAAAGACTTGTATATGGATGTTCACAACAGCTTTATTCATAACAGTCAAAAACTGGAAACAACCAAAATATCCATCACCACACCAGGTGAATGGCTAATTAAATTGAGGTGTACCATACAACGGAGTACCACGCAGCAATATAAAAGGAGTAAACTACTGATACATTCAACAACGTGGGTGAATCTCAAAAACACTATACTTGAGCAAAAGAAGACAGACACCAAAAGGTACTGTATGATTCCATTTATTTGAAAGTTTAGAAAAGACAAATCTAATCCTTAGTAACTGGAAAAAGATCAGCTGTTGCCTGGAGCCAGAGATGGGAGCTGGTTATTGACTAAGAAGGACACAAAGGAACTTTCCGGGTAATAAATACTTTCTATATCTTGATAATAGTGGTATTTATACAGATAGATAAATGTGTCAAAACTCATCAGAATACATTTCATTGTATATAAATGTAGATCCCAATAAATGTGATTAAATAAAGTTTTAAAAACACAATTGCCAATAGCCTTCCAATTCACTTAGAGTAAGTCTTTTAAATAATTACCAAGTTTATCTCTGGCTTCATTGTTTTCCCTTCTTCTCCTTCTCTACTAAATTCACCACATTAGACCTCTTGATGTGTAGCTTGAACATGTCAGTTCAACGCAAGGGTCTTGTGCAATGACCATTCCTTCTGCCTAAAAAACTATTCTTTCAGATACTCACTGGCTCACTTTCCCAACTCTTCCATTCTTTTTTTAAGTGTTTTTTCTCAGTGAGACCCACTCTGTCCCACTGATTCAAAACTATAACCTCCCTGACATTGGCCAAACCTTACTCTGTTTTATTTTTCTGCATAACTTTTGTCACCTTCTAATATACTCAATATTTTACTGATTTATTATATTTACTATCTTTAACTCTCAACTACAATGTAAATGTCATGAGATTGGGATTTCATCTGTTTTGTTCATTGCTGAACCCCAAGTACTTTGGCACATAGGAGGCACTTACCATACATTTGCTGAATAAATAAATGCATGAAAGAAAAGAAATCACTTAAATAGTCATAATACTAAGTATGACAGAACTGAATTCTCACATTAAAAAGGAGAGATGGTCATATTAGGGTATAAACCAAAACCCAACTACATTCACCCAACTAAAGTAAAACAATCAATGTTGAAAGTCGCTTTATATTAGAACATTGCAAACAAAACATTAAAAGCAAAAGCAGCAGCAGCAATATTAATATTAATAAGACTAATCTAATATAGAGAATATCAAGTAGTTATCAAAAGTACAATATATGAAGAGACTTTAACATTTACAAATCTAAAAATACAAAGTATCTAAAATAAAGCAAAAATATTACAAATGAAGCTGATAAACAAGAGTAATAGTGGAAATCTTTTTAGAGTTGAACAGACCTGGTAGACAAAAAAAAATAAGTATGGACATAGAGGAATTAAATGAAATAATAAACTTGATTATGTATTTATTTCTCAATGGAACATTGTCATTTCACTGAACTGTAAACTCCACAAAGCAAGGTATATATCTATGCTATTGACCATTACACCACCAGCACCTGGAAAAGAGCCTCGCGTGGAATTGAGTTTGATGAATATTTGTTGAATGACTATTTGCATTCACAAAATTTGACTTCATACTCGATTATCAACGCTTCTAACACAATATTTTTTAACGGATGTTTTTAAAGTAGAGCTTGTGCAAACCACTCTCTGACCAAAACTCAATCATACTGGAAATAAATTATGAGATAGAGATTAAAGTGATATTCATTATTTGTAAATTAAGAAGCACATACCTATATAACCCTTGGATAAAAGAAGAAATCAAAAGTGAGATTAAAAATTATCCAGAATCCAATGAAAAGAACACTTTATAGCCAAAATTCATTGGACACAGCAAAAGGTATACAAGCAGCATTAAATGCCTTCATGTGAAGCTAAAAAATCACCCTAAATTATCAAAAGCAACCCAAGATGAGGTAGAAAATTTAAATTAATTATAATAAAAGAGTTCGTATTTACAATTAAAAAAGATATTGAAAAGTTACCAGTACTCAATGGGTTCACAGCTAAGTCCAGCTAGGCACAGAAGAGTTTTTTCCAGTGTGACATAAACTATTACAGGTCATAGAATTAAAAGATATTCCTCAAAAGAATGTTTTCTCAATTCATATTATAAAGTAATTGAGCACAATTCTAGATAGAAAACTGTAGACCAATATAATGCATGAATACAAATGAAAAATTTGAAAGAACGTATTAGCAGTGAACGAAAGATAATAATACCATGTGATCAACTAAGGTATATTTTAGGAATGCAAGAGTGACTTAATAGCAGGAAATCTACAATTATAATTCATTGTATCCCCTAAATTAAAGGGGAAAAAAAACCACATGATCATATCAATATTTGCTGAAAGGGCCTTAGATAAAATTAAGCATCCATCACCAACATAAAAGCTAAATAGCAGCACTGTTACACTGTTTATAACAGCACTGTTTGAGATAGCAAAATGCTATAAAGTAAATGGTGGCCTTGAATAATAGGAAGTTAAACTCTGCTCAAGTCACACTAAGGACTATTATGTCTTTGTTAAAAACAGTGAATTATAACAGAAAGGGCCAAGATGTGGCTGTGGGAAGACCCTAAACTCACCTCCTCCCATGGACACACCAAATCTACACCTACACATAGAGCAATTCCTCCTGAAGAAGAACTAAGGACTGGTTGAACAGCTTCTGAATAACAAACAATAGAGGGCCACATAGAGATGGGGAGGAAAGACAGACATGATATTGACAGAAACCTCATCCCTGACCCTGCGACCTGCAGCCGGGAGGGACATCACTGAGGGGCCCCCACGAAGGCTTGCCTGCCCTGGGGCACAGCAGAAAAAAACCAGCAGTTTGAAAGGCACTTAAACAATACGGGAAGGAAATCCGTTTAATAACCCTAGACATCTACCAAATGGACAGAGAACTGCTGAAACTCTCCGCAGTTGGAGGTGATGACAAGCGCCATTTATTGTATTCCCCCTCCACCTTGATAGTGTGAGCAGGAGCACAGTCCAGACACTCTAGCTGGCCTGCCAAGGCCACCCCAGCACCCCTTGGGCCCCCCGGCCTCCTGGCCCCCTGGCCCAGCCATCAGCCCAAGGTGGCCTCAGCATAAACATATGATGAGAAGGGGACCCGTCCCCAGCATTCCCATATAGTTTAGATGCCTTTTAAACTGCTGGGTTTTTTTCTGCTGTGCCCCAGGGCAGGCAAGCATTTGTGTGGGCCCCTCAGTGATATCCCTCTCATACATGTATGGTCAATTAATCTACAGCAAAGTAGACAAGACTGTACAATGGGGAGAAGACAGTCTCTTCAATAAATAGCGTTGGGAAAATTTGGGCAGCTACATGCAAAAGAGCAAAATTGGACCACCATCTAACACCATATACAAAAGTAAATTCAAAATATATTAAAGACTTGAATGTAAGACCTGAAACCATAGAGCTCCTAGAAGAAAACATGGGCAGTCAGCTCTTTGACATCAATCTTAGCAA